ATCCATCTAACTAATGGCTGATGCGCCTTTGTTTCAGCGAGAATTATGAATATCCACGTACGAACGCACAGAGTCCTTGTATGCTAAACATATGCTTTATTTATTTATTTATTTATTTTTTCATGCTGTTTTATTTTGGATTATGGATGGACATATTCAAAAGGGCTAGGCCCATTCACCTAGATGAAGCACCATCCACCAGAATTAGAATTGGGAGTGAGATGACAACAGTATTTTGGATGCACATGCTAATGCTAGCCCTACACGTTGGACACTAGTGTCAAGTTATTGGAAAATTATATAAGCTGCCAAGTGCCAAGCATACATTGACTTGTACTGTTACTCTCTGACACCATAGGGCAGAGTAGCTTGCGTTTCTAATGGATTTCGCTGGATTCTGCAAGCCCACTAAATTTTGTATTGACCCCATGGCATGACATGAGTAAGCTCACAGTCTGTAAACTGTGGAGACTGGATAATCAGTTGACCAACTACATGATGACATGATGTCATTTCAAAAGGAAGAAATACTTTGCATAATCCATGAAAATGAAAATCATCATCAATCATCAATACCATAATCTATATCTATAATCTATAATTTATAATCATCAGCAGCGATCATCACCACTAACTGGTAACAAGGGAAAAATGAAAACATAATAGTACCAAGAAAGGATAGAAGCAAAAATGAAGTAAATTTAGGCTTTTTATATGTTAGAAAACAATTTCAATGCTTTACTTGATACTGTAATCACTCACAAAAATCCCCCTTTTCATCTCAACAATCAATATTCTCCCCTCAAAATTGTCAGCTGTTTCAAACCCCCCTTTTCATCTCGACAATCAATGTTCTCCCCCTCTCCAGATTGTCTTTCCCCCACCTCCTTTCTCTTATTCCAAGTTTTCAAATAGTCAGTCAATCAATTGCAATACCAAAAAAAAAAAAAAAGAAATGACAACTTGCCACTCTCCCTTTTAAACCCCTTTTCACTCCTCGCAATGTTACATAGGGACAAACTTTATCAACACAAACAGTTTGTGTTTCACCCCTTCCCCACCACATCCCCCGTAATCTGACATCTAAAAATTTATAATATATGTATCAACTCTTCTTCAACTCTACATTAACCGATCCGATAAGCTCGGAAGCCGCCGGAAAAAGTTCAAGCTAGCCGGCGGCATGGCGCCTCTAAACATGGGGTGCCTTAGATAATAAAATCCTAATGCCACAGCCACCATTTTTGGTGGCACTGCATAAAGTATCAATGTGATGGCTAAGCAGACCCCAATGAACAATTTTGTGGCCCTTGGGTCCCTCCAGCTCACCAAGGCCTGGACCCTCTCACCTTGGGTTGCAAAATCACCCAAAGCAGTTTGAACCCTTCCTGCAAATATTCTCAACCTATCATATCTGGCCCTGATTATCTCAGGTGGCTTTGAACTTGGTATTGTATCAAATTCCTCATCGAGCTCATCAGGATCAACTGTTTCAGCTTGGGACAGCCTGATATCCATGCCCGCAGGTATCTTGGGCCTAAACCTATAATACCAAACTCCAATCATAACCACATATAGAAAACCTGTCGGCACAATCAAATCCGGATACCAAACAAGCACCAAGTATAGAACATGGACCAACACTGTAGTAACAGGGTTCCTCCACCTCCTAATATCATCCAACCATTTTGCCAACCCGACTGCCCATGAAAGAACTGCCACAATCCGAAACCAATTAGCCTTACTCTTTCTCATGCTCCATGTATGAGAATCTGCATCCAACATGTACGTAACCACCTCCTGCCCCAGTGGTGGCTCTGACCTTGCCAGCCACTGTGCCACCATCTTTGTGGCAGCTCCACGCAATGTCTCCTGCTGAGCCACCCCGAGTGGGCGGAGATAGTGCATTCTTGGAAGCAATGGCTGCCGGTAGGCCGAACATGTGTCCGGTAACAATGACGGGCAAGCAAACCGAACCGCTAACTCAATCTCACCCATTTTCTTTAACCCCATTCTCGTCAAAACTAACAATGGATACGAGTTGGTGTACACTTTGTTACTCTCCAGCGTAGATATACGTATCCGTATTTTGCCAATACGAGAGTCTGGGTTGTCTTCTGACATGTTAGCCAACATGCGCCAGTTGTCAAAAACCCCGACAGTTAGGACAGTGCAGGGGTCGTAGACTTGCCACGTGTACTGCTCGTTCCAGCGTGGATCAAAGCTGTCCATGACGGTCCTAGTGCGGACCCACTTTTTCCCATATTTCGCGACGCAGTAGGCATCGGTGGACCCTTTGACTCCGCCTTTTGTTTTCATCGGGAGCAAGCCGCGAGCCCCAAGAATCCCCAGCTCTAAAATCCCAATAGCCGGCTTCCAAAGCTGCTTAGCCGTGGGTCTAAAGTCGCTGCACACGTGCGCCGCTTCATCCAGCACGTGATAACAACCCTCTAAGCACAGCCGCAGGTGAATTCTCCCGCCGTAGGACCCACCTCCACCTCTTGCTCCACCCTCCAACCCAAGCCATTTGGATGCCACGTGGCGCTCATCTATCCGTTGCTCGATTGAGATCAAGGGGATCATGACGTGGCCAAGTAGAATCGCGTCCTTGTTCGTACGGTCTTCCACTAACAGAATTAACGAATCTTCGAGAGGTTCGCCGGCGACGAAGAACAAGTTCTCGTTCCAGTGCACTGACATACTATGATTGTTCATGTTTCCTCTCCTTGTACGTACAGATTGAAACCCTAGCTGCGCTTTGACTCGAATTTCAGGCACCGTTAAAGGAGGCAGATTCGGCGCAATGTGAAGATCCTGAGCTTCGATAACAGTCAATCTCAAGTACCAGAGCTTGGGCGATTGATAAACTTTCGAGCGAGTGTGCGCCACGCATGGCGCGTCTGAACTCCTGGCTTCAGGAAAAGCGTTGTCGTTTTGAGTGCCGATCCAAACAGCAAGTTGAATATCACCGTAAACGCTGCCCGAATTCTGATCGACGGCACCGCTTTCGAGCCGGTACCATTGCGGAGCTAAAGGACTATCCGGTGACTCTCGTACGGGGACATCGGAGAGATCGAAACAAACGCCGCCGAGAAAATGTTCCGTCGGAGAGTCCCAAATAGAGATTTCAAGCGTCGCGTTGGATGATTCTTGTTTATTGTAACCTAAAGCGAACACCTCGCGCCACTCGGGCGAGTCGGTTGGCTCACCTGGAAGGTAAATCATCGGCTTGGATTTGAGGTAATGGTTGGATGTTCGGATCTTAACATAAGGGCATTGATTTGAAGCTAATCTACGCGCTTTAACGATTTTAACGAACAAATATTGCATCGGCTCAACTAGATCGTAGGGATGAATTCTCTCAGCGCCACCGCCGCCAGCAGCGGCGGCGTTGTCAGCTTGAGTTTTGTTACCTCCAATTTCTCTAGGTGAATAGTCTCCATTTGGTCTCTTCAAAATCCTAACTCTCTCGCCTCTGCTACTCTGCATCTTCCTCACTTCTGGCACAGCAAAATGTACCTCAGAAACCGGAATTCCCGGCGCCATATGTGATGGCACAGCCGTTGGCCCCGCTGGAGGCGGCAGCTCCTCGTGAACATGAACAACATGTGGTGGAGATTCCCCATCAACAACGGGCGGCGAAGGATAACAAGGAACAGGACCGTGACCATAGCCATTAACTCCATGAGGAAACTCCATGTGTACGGTAGGAACCTCAAAAACCCTACCTTCCTCAACAATGACAAGCCCGGGAGAAGGTTTCGGATCCTCCGTTTGCGGAGGCTGTTGCTGCTGCGGCGGCGGCGGTGGTTCTTCGGGCGGAGGCTGATCCTCGACAATCTCATCATAGTAATAAATCCTAAGCCCAATCTCACCTCTAATCCAACTAAAGACACTCTTTTTCTCCAATGGAAAATAGACCAACCCTTCCTCTCCTCGTTTGGCAAACTGGCTCCCGTACAACTTAACCCTCCCCAAAAAGTGATTTTTACGGCCACTGCCATTCCCGAATTTCTTATCATTAAAAACCTCAATTTCTAGCTCTTCCACATCCATAGTATCCGGGTCGGACACCGTGAACTCCAACGTCTCGTTCCATACAGGGTTAAGGTCCCTGTATTTCGTGGAAGTTCTCTTTTTCTGACCGTCGAAATCGGCAATGACGTAAGGGCTGGAGCTTCCTTGACCATCTTTGGGAAGAAGATCACGCGCGTCGACCACTTCCACGAACACTTTCCGCACCGTCTTGGGCGGTTGTGGTGGATGCTGCTGATACGACGACGTCATGGTCTCATTTTAATTTTGGCAAGGTAGGTAAAAAGGGAAAAAAGAAAGCAGGAAGGAAAGAAAGGATTGAGTGAGCTTTGGGCAAATAAAGAGAAAGCGTTGATAGCGGAGGGTGGTTTTGGGATGTGATTGCTTTTTTTGGAATTTTCTTTGTTTTTAATATGCGGTCTGCTTAGATTTGGAATTTTGATCTTAATTTTTTTTATTTGGATGATTTAAGATTTGAGAGAGAATGCCTGTGCCCTTGAGCGGTGTATGTTGCTGATGTAGTAGGAAATGAGATTCCATTCTCTCTCGTGAAGGTTTTGGATCAATAGGCGCTTTCTGCTTCCCACCTTAGCGGGTTCGTTCTCATCTTCTGTCCTTTTATTTTATTGGTAATAACTATTATTGATAAAACTAAGCTAGATTTTCTCTCTATTGTCTCAGCTGTCTCAATTTGACTGACAGGGTGACTATAAATGCCTTGTTGTTCTTTTTAATTCTATATTTTTTCTCAGCTTCATTTAGCTTTTGAAGATTTATATACTTCAGTTGCATTTATTAGGTGTAAGAATTCTGGAGAATTAGGAGCAAAAACGTTGAAAGGTTACCCTCTATGGCCTAGCTTCATTTCTATTAACATTTTATGACAATAATGGTACGAACTAGTTTAGAGAAGAGTTTGGGATACAAACAAAAGCAGGGTTGAGGAAATGAAACCAGTTACAGAGTCATACAAGCACCGTTGGTGGTAGATGCCTCTGCAAGGCACATGATTCCACCTCCAAACCATGGCCCCTCTCCTTTTTGTCAAAAGCACCTACATTTTGAATAAAGTTCACCCCCACAAAGCATCAACTTTATTTCCTCTTGTCAACATACCTCAAAGACCAAATGCTTACTTTTACTTTTTGTTTCTTACCATATTCATCTCAGGATGCAGTTGTGTTCCTGAAGCTGGTATCTATCCTTTCTAGCATTTGTTTTCTTCCCCCAAATTATGTTTCCTTCACTTTCCTATTAGATTTTGTTCTCAAGAAGATAAACTCGCCCAATTGATTACAAGGTGTATGATCCATTTTAAGCAAAGTTTAGATTTTGAACTCTATTCAACTATGTCATGTAAATTTCCCAACAAGAAATCTTTGAAATCCTTTTGCTTAAATAAAGAAGGAAAAAAGGGAGTAAACGGTGATTTGATATACATACTTAGTGAATATGCGTTTGTTTATTTACTTTCCTTTTCCTTTACCTATGTGCTTTTTGGTGAAAGGCAATTTTGTTATTCTCTTAGACGTAAGGTTACAAAAGTGACATGAAGCTGACTTCAACTACACAAAGGATGTGTCTCATAAGGTTGAACAATCTGTTATTGACAATTAGAAATTCTAATCACCCCTAAAGCTTCTTAAGAGAAAACCCCACAACCAAGGCTAAACATTCTTATTTGGGACAATGGGTCACAGCTTTTGGCACTAATTTCAAAGAAGTTTCTCCCTCCCAAGTTATTTTTAAATGGTATTCCTTTTTAAATTGGTGGACTGCTTATGGAATCTCATCCTATACGATAAAGTAATTTTTGAACAGATGCTGATTGGGTTTTGGATGTTTTGTGCGTGGTTAGTGGATTAGATCAACAAAAAGTGCTTGCAACATAAAGAAGAATATTGGTGAGAACAGGAATAGCCAATGAAATTGGTGCCAATATCTCTCCGTTCCTCTATTTTGTAATAATTCAGTTCTATCTGTGTTTAAATTTATGTGGGAGTTAAACACCCTCAAACTTGTTGTATGAACTTAGTTTCCATTGACGAATTGCTCTATTTTATATAAGAAGTTGTGTAATAAAGAGAAAATAAACTTAGATTGGATTGTATCTTAACATAGGTTTGTGATTCCATTCTAAATAACATTTAAATTTAACAACGAACTTAGATCAAATTACAATTCCATTTTATTGAACTATCAGTGTTCGATCAATGAGTATGGGTGAGCAGTCAAATCGGTCAGTTGGGTCTAAAAAAATTAATAACCAAATTAACCGATTTTTATTCTATAAGTAATCGAATTGACTAACAAAATTTTAAATAATCGGTTTAATTAAACCAATCAAAAATCGGTTCGATTTGGTTAATTCGGTTAAATAACCAAAATTTTCATTCTTTTTCTCCTATTTTAAATATTTATTTAGCTACAAATTCAATCCAATAAAACTCAAATTCATATATCATTCAAACTAAATCACTAAAGAATTCAATAATTTCAACAATATTTTACAAGAAAAAAGATAAATAAATACTCATTTAAACTTGTTTAATCAAAATAAATTAAATTTTAAGTTTTAAAAAGTGTGATATCTAAAAAAATGCGATACTCGAGATTTTTTTTTTCATTTTCAGGGCATCCAGTATTTAAATTCACTCGTTTAGATGAGGAATTCATATATATTAAATCTTGAATAATTACTATAATCTCCTTGACATATATGATGGTAACTTAAATAATCCAATTTTTAATTGAAAGGAATTATTCAATGTGTTTTTAGCCGAAAAACGCCTTCAACAATCCTTACAAAAAATTTAATGAGATTATTCAAAGCGTTTGTGATAAAAAAACACATTGACAAATTCCTATCAATTTTATAATGGGATTATTAATGGTGGTTTTAGCCAAAAACACCTTAAATAATTTCCTTCAATTCTTATGAGGGGATGATTCAAGTCGTTTCTATCCATAAAATGCCTTGAATAAAACCATTGCAAAAAATTAAATGGGGTTAGTGAAGGTGTTTATGGTAAAAAACATCTTGAATTATCTTTTTTAATTTTTAATTTTTTATGAAAGAATTATTCAAAGCAAAACGCTTTTTGCCTTAGAATAATCTTATGCAAAAAATTGAATAGAGTTAATTGAAAGCGTTTCTAACAAAAAGGTCTTAAATAATCCCCTAAAAAAAAATTGAAAGAGATTAATCAAGGCGTTTTTAGCCAAAAATACCTTGATTAATCTCCTTCAATTTTTTTTGAGGGGATTATTGATTGTGTTTTTAGCCAATAGTACCCTTTCATTTTTTTTGTAATTATTGAAGGTATTTTTGAGAAAAAAACGCCTTGAATAATTCTTTATAAAAAATTGAATGAGATTAGTAAAGGTATTTGTAGCTAAAAATACCTTAAATAATCATTTTCAATTTTTATGAGGAGATTATTCAAGATATTTTTGCTCAGAAAATGCCTTCAATAATCTTTACAAAAAATTGAATAGGATTATTAAAAGCATTTCTAGTTAAAAACAACTTGAATAATTCATTATAACAAATCGAATGTGATTATTCAAGGCATTTCTAATCAAAAAGTAAGTTAAGTTTAGAGTTTTTTTTAGGGGAATATACATATTTAACCTTAATTATTATAAGATAAGTTAATTAGATTAATTCAGTTATCAATTTTGAAAACCAATTATAATCGAAAACTGATTAGATTGAACCGAAATAATCATATTTCATCAGTTTCAATCGATTAAATCGGTTTGAAGCAATATTTGCTCACCTCTATCAATGAGAATAAATTTCTTTCCCTTTTTTTTTTTTTTTTCTATTTTCAGTATGACAAGATCCAAAACTACTTTGTTCGAAGAATAGTATTTATTTATTTTAGTACAACTGGTGCAAAAAAATCCAGGAATCAGAGGTAGAAAGACTCGAATTAGATGCATTTTGTTTTTCATTAATGCACTAAATTCTAGTCAGCTTATTCATAATCAGATTGCATGCATTAAGCTTTCAACATAAAACCTAATCACAATATTGGATTAACTTTTACATATTTTATAAGATATGATATGCTGATTGGTTTTGTCAGCCTAAACAGGGGGAAAAAGTTTGCGATGTTCTATTTGTGTATTCAAGATGTTTTTAGATTTGATCCTTGTCCTGTTGAACTTGCATTTTCCTGTGCATCTTCCTCTTTTGTCTTTAATATTTTTTTTATAAGAATTTAATGTCTTTCACTTTATACTCTTATAGAATCAAATCTACTTTTAGGTGCATAACTGAATGCTGCTCTCTTTATTTTAGTAATAGCAGGTTTATATATATTTTTTCTCCGCTTAATAGGCAGAAAAATGAAATATAATTTTATTACTTTGCAAATTATTGCTCTGACTTGTGACTAATGCATTTGATTTTGGATCACTTCTATAGATGTTTGGATCTATGGAGTCACTTTTTTTATGTCAATTTAGATTAATTTATGTTATCTTTTCATGATATAAAGTCTAATTATTAGATGCATGTCAAGGAAGAATGCAAAGGAATCAAATGGAGTTGATATACTTGAAGTTTTTACAAGTTCCTTTGCTTCTTTACATGAGTAGATGTTAATGCAACTGTCTATATGTCTGTACATACCACATATGAGGAACAAAAATTATGAACAAGCATACAAATTAAATTTCTTGCCTATTGTCCATTTGATTAAAACCTTCCAGACACTAACACTCCCACCGAAAAACTAAAACAACTGTAATAAAAATATTGTTCTTAAGCAAATCAGTATACTTCCCTTATTTCTCATCTCTTTGTGAACACTAACAACATGATCCTCAGTTTGCTTGCCCTGTTCTTCATTCTCAGCATGGCCATGTTCATCATGTTTTCTTTTATTTTCATCATCCATTAGTTCTTCTTGTGCATTCTTTTCTGCCGCAGGGTTACCATTTTCATTCTTTTCTTCCACTCTCTTTGGGAAAGTTAGACAGAGCATTTCATCCTCAAAATTTTGACCTGTCTTATTCATATCAATAGTCGCTGGTCGTTGTAAAGTTTGTGCAAAATATATGCATTTGTCATTATTCACTATCCTTTCTCCACTGATTGTTACATGGCCAGGGTAAGCAAGTCCAACCATCACCTCCTCTTCTTGGAAACCTAAATTAAGATCCCATGAGACACAGAAATGTCATTATTTGAGTAAGTGCTTTCTTTTTTCCATTTTTCTTTTAGTTTGCATGTGAAATTGACAATAATTCTCTAGGGCTACTCAACGATGATGTTTCAGCAACAAACTGGAGTTGTTTTCTTTTACTGTTGATGAGGTTTTTCAATGGACATTCGCCTAGTGATATCAGGGGAAGAAGTCATAAATTTTTCAGTTTGAATTGATTTGTGCACTAAATTCTATTCCATATTGTTTTCTTTTATCGTTATTTAATTACATTATTTAGTGCATTTTCGATTGAAAAAATCTATAGGATAGGGAATTGGTGGTTTTTCATTGAAATTCAGCTTTCTTTTATTCTTTTCATATGTCGATGCCAACATATATGTATATGCATAAATACATTAAAGATCATAAAATTTATGAACAATATGCAAATCAAATTGCCTCCTTATTATTCTTCATCATGGATACTATATCCAAAGCTTTGACACCCAAACCCCAATGGAGAACGATATAATAATTGTAAGAACAACCCCCTTATTTTTCTTGAGACACTTGATTGCAATCTTTAATGCACCATCTTTTTCTTCCCATTTCTTTATACTCTCTTCGGGGAAACTAGCAACACGACGAGTTTCGTTGCTGTCGTGACTCTGTTTAGCAGCAACATGACCATGTTCATGTTTCCTTTTATTTTCGCCATTGTCGTTTGATTCTTCTTCCTCTTGTGAACTCCCTCCTTCTGCACTACTTTTGTTGCCATTTCCATTCTTACTCTCCTCTTCTTTATTTTGTTCTACCATTCTCTTTGGGACTGTAATGTGGAGATGTTCACCTTTAAATTTCCCAACGATGTTTTCTGTATCTGAATTCTCTGGCAATGGGACGGTTTGGTCAATGTATATGCATTTGTTCTCATTCACTATCCTTTCTCCTTCAATCTTTATATGATCAGCTGAAGGTAGCTCAATTCTCACCTCCTCAGGTTTGAAACCTAAATAATAATAATAATAATAATAAATGCCAAAGCAACATAAAACATATTTCATCAGGTCAATACTCATCAAAGATTATATTAATATCATGCATGCAATTTTTTGGAAGAAAAAGAAAAGTAGTACCACGAAGATCAATGTCAAGGAGATAATTGCCCTCGGCATCCTCAGTCCAAAACGAGATGGGAACAAACTTTTCGGCTATACGGCTAGGCCACCGTCGACTTGTTCTGTCTCTCAGATTATCCATACGCTTCTCAACAAACAAACTGATACCCTTATTATTGGTCTTTTGGAAAACGACGATACAAATCTATATATAATACTATTTCATACGTAATTTTTTTTCTGTTTTTTTAATTTATTGTTTATGTTCATGCAACTTTTCTCGTGAAGTCACGTTTCCTTATATTCCAAACTTAATCCATTCTTCAAACATTTTACTTTGGGTGGAATTGTTTGTTTGAAAGAATGCAAGAAGGAAATATTCCTTGCTTGTCCAAATTAACAGCGTTTTTTTTTTTTTAAAAAAAAAAAAAAAAACTTAACCCCTTAGAGAGGTCTATAAACCAAGCCATGCCCGATTAATCCTTTAAAAGATTGCTTAATGTTCAATTTGAAACCTTTGAACTCGAAACAATTTGAAAAATTTTCCATCCACAATGACCTATCCTAAAGTGATTCAACCCCAAACCAATTCAAGCAGCTTAAACCAATCAAGCTCGAAGAATTTTGAAGGAAAGAAAAAGAAAAGATAAAAACATTTTTTAAAATAAAAACATTGTATGTACTTAATCAAATACAATAAATATCAAATCAATTATTAATTTTGTGATAATAAAAATATAAGATATATAATTATATTAATTAATTATAATGTAAATGTTAAAATTTATTTTCATCTTCCACTTACATTTTATTTCAATAAATTAAATATTTTATTTCATACTATTATTTTATAATTTAAAAAAATCGACACATAAAAATAATGTACTGAATTAAATTAAACAAAATAGGACTAAATAATGCATTTGACATATATATTTATTTTATATGTAGTGCTCTTATTTTATAAGTATAATTTTTTAATGACTGAAATTCGAAATTAACTCTTTGATAAGGACATATTTGTATTTATCATTAAATAAAATGTTTATGTCTTTTACCTCACAATTCATTAAGTAAATCCTTTAGAACTTTAATTAATTATCTATAATCTATAATCTATAAGCTCATTCCGTCGAATATCTTAAAATAAATATTTTACCCTTAATTTATAGTAAATGAAGAAAAAGTTGTTGGGTATAATGGTAAAGCCACTAAAATTTTGCAATATATATATATATATATATATCTACACAGGTAGAACTTAAGAACCCTAAGATTAACCGTAATCATATAACTAACCATAATCAAAACAATCAAAATACAAATAAAACAAAAATCAATGGAAAAAATATACTAAAAAAAAATCAACTAAAAAATCCACCAAAACTAACAAAAATTGTTTAAAAAATCACAAAATCACAAATTTAATTTTTTTAGAAAAATTTTCCCCTAAGAAACTATCAGTTAAAAACCAACACAATCCACTATTAAAAAAAAAAAAAAACCTTTACATCTGAGATTTTTATTTAAAAAAAAAAATAGATTTGAGATTTTCAATCTCTTTTCTTTCTCTTTAAATCTAAAAAATCCAAGAACGTTGAAAAAAGAGATAAGATTAGTACAACTTTTGAGACTTTTAGAGGAATTTTTTAGGTTTCCTTGAAGGATTGGTTTCAAACAAAAAAAAAAAAAGATGAAAGTAGGTTGATTAATTAAATTCAAGAGAAAACTTCGATGAAAGAGGAAGGATGAAATCAAAGGAAGCTTTTAGAAAAGAGAAAGGAGCATGCGGCGGATTTAAGTTTCGACAGTGGAAATAGCAAGAGAAATTAAAAATGAATTTTTTTAAAGAGAAGAAAAGTGGAAAATTAATTATTGTTAGTTTTCTTAGGATAAATTTAGGTGTTTAAAGTGTTGAGTTTGAAGAATAGGTAGGTACGAAAAATGTAAAGAAGGAAAGAGAAAGTGTTTTTTTTTTTGGACCAAAGAGGAGGTGGGTTGAATTTACAAAACTAGGCCCAAATATCAGGTCTGTTTAAAATGGTTTCGTATTTATTAAATTGGGTTAATCCATTTATAATTAAGGAATATAGCCCATTCTTTATATTTTTATTTTCTCTGTTTAGTTTTTTTTGTGCAAAACTTAAAATTATGGAATTATTTTAAAAATAATGATAAATAAGTTTTTAAGAAAATAAAATTATTACTGGTAAAAAATAAAATAATATTATGAATTAAATAATTTTTTTAAAAATAAAGAATAATAAAAATTATAAAAACAAAATTATTAATTTAATATTAAATATTAAGTCACATAATAAAAATTTTTTCTGCAATGAAGCGCGAGCAAAATTTTTAATTTTAATCATTTGAAGTTTTAAATTTAGAGGTATTAAGATCGAAAACCGGACTAAAGATGGAGATGAAATTCATCATAAGATGGAATTCAAGACTAAGAGAATCTTTATTTTTTTTTTTCTTAATCACAATGAATTTTTTTATGCTTTATTTATTTGAGAGGAGACAATTATGCATCAGCCACTAAACCATTAAACCAAACACTTTGAAGTTACAAACAAATTGAATAGGCAAGAAGAAAACCTATCCCATTATATTTTAATCATCTTACAAATTGTATTTATAGAGAAGATCACTACAAAGCTCAAGTCATGGACAGAAACCGAAGATCCGGAGACCAAAATTTGACCATTAATGGGGGCAGTGGTCTCCCTCCTTTCCCTCACAACGTCTCGTTTCTTTCTTCATTTATGGTTGTCTTGCCATTGTATTTAAACAAACCCTTTGAGACTAATTTCAAACCTTTTAGCATCAAATTTGCTTCAATAGTCATCAATAAAAAAAAAAAAAAAAACTTGTTAAAACAAAAGACCCTTCGTGCAATGCCACTCTCTTAAATTTTCGTCACGTAGGGTTCAAGATACCTGGAAATTTTGCTAAAGAAAAAATAAAAAGAAAACGTAGGTGAAAAAAAGGGTTAGAAGCAGTTCTTTTTGTTATTAAAAACAAAGGAAGATCAGATAATTATAGAGGTTACAATGAAAGTTTTGAAGACTATATTGTTATTAGGGCTTGTTGTTGCAATTAGTCCAATAGCAAAGGCTAACATTGGTGTATTTGATGAGGTGTGGCAAAACCGAGCTGAAAAAGCAAAGAAGGCTGCCCAAATAGCCTACGAGCCTAATCCTGAGAATGTAACAAACAATCTCAACAGCCAAACTCACAAGTAAGTTTTCAATTTTTTCTTTCTGGTATCTATATTAGGGTGTAAAGTAACATAATGTTTTATGAGTAATTCGTTAACAGACTTTATTTTTATTTGTTCATTAAGTATAGTAAATGATTATAAATAATATTTTAAAATTCATTAATCAAATAAACAGATCGTGAAAATAATAAAATTCGTTCATATTTAATTTATTTATTATAAAAAGTATAAATGAATAGAACATTCAACGAACAGTTTATGAATAAATTCGATTTATATTCATTTATTAATTACAAACTATGTTTCAAAATTTATTAATTAAATGAACTGACATAACAAAATTCATTTCATTTACATCATTAGTATCTCTTCAATGAAACTTTTAAGTATTTAATTAGATAACAGAAATAGACTCGACAAACTGTAAGTAATTTAACCTCTGTACATGCTTTTGTTTTTTTTATTATTAATATTTAATATTTAATTATTCATTTTATAAATTTTTTTATTCATTTTTTATCATAAAAATATTCATAAAACAAAACCTGAAATTATTATCATATGTCGAAAAGCATAGAATGTCAAACACAGTTGATAATGTATATATGAAGAGTAACATAAAAAATATGAACATTAAATACTATGCAGGGTGCTGGAAGGTTACAATAACACAAGAAGAGGACTAGGCAAATACCGTGGCCCATGCCTAGCGACAAACCCAATTGACAGATGCTGGAGATGTGATCCAAACTGGGCTCGAAACCGCAAGAAGCTAGCCGAATGTGTCCTGGGGTTCGGCCGCAAGACCACTGGAGGCAAGGCGGGCAGATTTTATGTGGTAACAGATCCATCGGATAACGATATGGTGAATCCTAAACCTGGGACCCTACGTCATGCTGTGATCCAAAAAGGACCTCTTTGGATCACATTTGCTCATGACATGGTGATTAGGTTAAATCAAGAGCTAATTATGACCAGTAACAAGACCATTGATGGCCGCGGGGCTGATGTCCACTTTTTTAATGGTGCTCAAATCACTCTGCAGTTCATTCAAAATGTTATCATCCATGGCATACACATTCGCGGATCGGTACCAGCCAATGGCGGCATGATACGAGACTCCGTGGATCATTATGGTTTTCGTACCAGGAGTGATGGTGATGGAATCTCGATTTTTGGATCCCACAATATTTGGATTGATCACGTTTCCATGTCTAAATGCTCTGATGGATTAATCGATGTTATTCAGGCATCCACGGCCATTACCATCTCTAATTGCCACTTCACTTATCATAACGACGTAAAATACATTCTCAAACCAATTTTTTTCTTTTTAAATTTTGTTAAAACGATGAAAAAAGCTAATAGTAATTGACAATGAGTTAGAAATTCATTCATGCAATAAACAGGTGTTGCTATTTGGAGGAAGTGATAGCTACTCTGACGATAAAGTCATGCAAGTAACAGTTGCTTTCAACCATTTTGGCAAAGGATTGGTGCAAAGGATGCCAAGGGTCCGATGGGGATTCGTCCATGTCGTCAACAACGATTATACTCATTGGCTAATGTATGCCATTGGTGGTAGTAAGAACCCTACCATCCTTAGCCAGGGCAACAGATTCATTGCTCCTGACATCAATGCCTGCAAAGAGGTACATCACTTGATATTCTCATGTCTGTTAAATGTTAGGTTTCTTGTAGTTTTATTTTCAATTTGACCGCTTCTATCAATTGTCAACGGGTTTTAGACTAAATACTTTGACAGGTATTAAAATTTATGTTTATTATGTTGTTTTTACGTAATATCTCTTTTAAATTTATCACATTATAAATTTTTGCCGTTATTTACACGTGATAAAAATTTGTTAATATGATTTGTATTTTGTATTCAAGTTAAATACTTCTATCTATTGTCAATTAATTTTAATTGAGATACTTAACATAAATGTAAAGTTAACCCATACCAAACACATTGCTTTCTTGTTTCAAGCTTACTATAATTTACAATCAGGATGGCAAATAGTTGCATCCGAATGGCGGTTTCTCACGCTCCACAAAGAACTGAATAGGAAACATTCTTTGACTGTAAAAATGTATGACGTTATTTATATGGTGTAGGTAACCAAGAGGGATTATGCACCAAAGAGTGAATGGAAGTCATGGAACTGGAGGTCTGACAATGATCTTATGATGAATGGGGCCTTCTTTGTTCAATCTGGGGGACCAATCGCAAGTATCAACAGCTACAACGTGGTCAAGGCAAAGCCTGGGACATATGCAAGCAGGCTCACAAGGCTTTCAGGCGCTCTCAACTGTATCGAAGGCAAGCCGTGTTAATCTGCATTGTACACGACCATAAGTACATAACATTATATTATAGAACTCAACTGAATCAGAAGTTGTTGTGATTAATGGCACGGAGGAATAATAAGCCCTCATCAATGTAGTTTCTGCTTAATTTAGAGATGCTTACGTGACATAAGTTGCAAAAACAAAGAAGGATCTGTATATATTACTTAAATAATTACCAACCAGTGAATTAAATTTCTTTCTTTTTTCTTCCTCTTCAATGGGATTCCATATATATTCTCTGTAACATATTCCTTTTTTTCTTTTTAATTTTGCATTTCAATTGTTGAAAACTTTTGAAGTCGAAGTAGCAGGAAAGAAAGATAAAAAATAAAATACTTAAAAGTCAACCAAAGTCTTTACTTGGAGGAAATAAACAATATGATTCTGGTTATGAGTCTTTATATCCAAGCAGGACATGACATTTATGGTCATATATTAAAATACAGGGATAAAAAAAAGGGAACATTTAATCAATTTATGCCAATTATAAGAAAAAATTCGAGTAAAGTACTTTCAGGAATGCTACCGATGATAAATCACACAAAAACCAAACAGCTTGCAGCATGCTTTCCTGTATATAAATGAACTATATATATAAAAGAAATCGGAAGTTTCAGATGAAACAAATTGTCAATATTGTTGCTTGTCCTGCTACTCAATCTTGAATTGAATCAACGCACACCAGAAAAATTTTCTCAAAACAATAGGCACCAAGCTAACCACTTCAATGTTACCTTCCATAGCACAACGGAATTACTTCTGCTCATTATTTTGTAAAAGTAAATAAGTTTCAGTCTTAATGTACTTCATCCCAGTCTTCAGAGCATAAACTGTGGTATTATCATGTTATCAATCTCGCTGGCAAACTTCTTTTGAAATCTATAGTTCTAGTGTACTTGTTATGCAAGAAACCGTCCTAAGAAGAAAGAAAGCAAGAAAGAAACAAATCGACAGATGTGCTGAATCATATATTTCTACCGAAATCACTAACCTTATTAATTGATAGTCTCCAAATTCTCAACTTTTGATTGCCAAGGAACCTCAAGTTGAAGCAACTTGGTGAACTGCAAAATTAAAAACATCAACACCTGTTCCCACGGGGGTCTAGAAGGAAAAGGAAAGGCAGAGGGGATGTGGAAATATACCACTTTCCGCAACTTATGCACGATGGAAAAGAGGTTGATTATACATATATTATAAGTTTAAAATATAACCACAAGCTTCAATGCACCTCAGATGTAGGAGTATACTATGATGCATCCATGTGGAAGCACTTATATAATGCATTTCAACACAAAAACATTTACACTCATTTGAGATGTCTTGAGTTCTAGCTCATCCCATTCCAAAAAGGCTTTCTACTATCTCTGTTCCAGCATATGTCAGTGCACCAACACCCTATCGGAACAAATAAAAATATGTTATAGAATATGTAAGGGTATCAGTGTGACACCCCAATCCCACATTGGAGATAATCTAAGATTTTTGCTATGATATATAAGTTGAGATCTAATATTAAATTTAAGAAGTGCCTTTTGTGGGACAAAATCGTGAGACCTTCGGGTCAAAGCGGACAATATCTTACAGGTTGGATGTGAATTTTCACAAATGATATCAAAGCCAAGTTATCAGTAAGAAGAAGCTAAGTACTATATCGTGAGAGCCACCTTTAGAATCTTACGGCAACTAAATGTTACACGATGAAAGCTACTTCTATAACCCAACATCTAGTATGATCTTGTGATTTGTGTGTATTTTGTGTTGGGCTTGTCCAATGTTTGGTGTGATTCGGTAAATCTATGTACTTTGTGTCAAGCTTGATAAGAACACAAGTTTTAACCGGGAAAGTTTGTGACGGACTAATCTCACATCGAGATAATTTGAGGTTTTGTTATGATATATAAATTGAGATCTAATACCAAACTTGTGAGGTACCTTTTATGGGACAAAACGATGAAGTCTTCAGGTCAAAGCAGATAATACCTCGCAAGTTGGATACAAGTCTTTACAATCAGTTTCTAAAATAAAAATGTGTGCAGTTTTTGTAGGAAACCCATAAATTGTTGAAGTTGGGTGGAGAGAAAACAAGATTTCAAACTATAAAAAAAATAGAAATAAAAAAGGTATCTTAACAATAAAGCTAGAGAAAAACTACTATCTAGATCTCTAGCAAATTAAAAGTCTATAATTTGAGACTATTATTCAGCCAACTGATCATTCTAGAATCAAGAAAAGTTTGAGTATGAAACTACAATGAACAGTTTATGAAACAAATATATTAAAGTATGCACCTAAAATTTATCATGTAGTTGCTCTGAAGGAATATATATATATATGAAATTCATAATAATATTTATCTTATCATCTTCCCTTTTTAGGCTACCAACTAAGTGGGCAAATAAATGTTGAATTCTTTGAAGTTTTTGTACTATCTTCTTTAGCTTGACAACAACTTTATCACTTATAGACTACAAAGCAAAATAAGAGCAAAATGATCACATTTTATCCTTCTTTTTTGGTTTTACAAAGACAAAGAAAAAAAAAACGTGTAAGAATGAACAATGAGAATATGAAACTGAAGTGTTTTTCAACTTCTTCATACAATATAACTTCTTTAAATACAAAAAGATTTTAACTGAAAACTAGAATGACTGCTAGTTACAAGACATAATCTTTCTATTTACAAGCCATAAACAAAAACCACTAACACACATACAACTAACTTCCATAACCTACCAACATATAACTAACTTTCTAAAATTTTGGACAGACATGGCATATTCATTTTCATCACTTTCTACGTATATCTCATTCTTCATTACACATTAGCAGCCCATGTCTGCAGAATACAACTGATAAGGTATTCTAGCAACACTCATTCTTGCCTCAATAGTTATAAAAACCTAGTTTACTTCTTAAAGCTTCAAATCTAGCTGTGGATAGGGCTTTGGTTAACACATATGCAATTTGATCCTTAGTTCTACAATAAAGCAAACTAACTTCACCTTGTTTCTACACTTCTCTTAAGAAATATAACTTGATCTTAAAGTGTTTAGTCTTGCCATGAAAAACAGGATTATTTGATATTGAAATTGCAATTTGGTTGTCTATATGAATCTGTGTTGGCTCTTTCTTTTCCATGTGTCAATCTACAAGTATTTTGCTAAGCCAAAGTGTTTGATTTATAACTGTAGTGGCTGTAACATACTCAGATTCAGTTGTACTCTGAGCATCACTTCTTACTTTTTTTAGCACTATGAGAACATTTATGGTCCAAAGCTAAAACAAAAACATGTTATGCTTCTCATGTTATCAACTGAACTTGCCCAATCATTATTAGAATAACCATAGAGTTTAAAATCCTAATAGTAAAAATATATGATATCATAATTTAATGTGCCTTTAATATATCTGACAATCTTTTTAGCAGCTTGAAAGTGGACTTTACTAGCATAATGCATGAATCATGAGAGAGCTCACTACAAACATAATGTTTGGTCTAGTGGTAGTAAGATACATCAAATAACTAATCAAACTTCTATACTAACCTTCATCAATGTTGTCTGATCCATCATCCTTGCTAAATTTTTCCTTCTAATTCATTGGGGGTATTTGTGTATTTGCAATCCTTCATATGAAATTTTTTAAGTATTTCTCCCACATATTTCTTTTGGCATCTAAAAACTCTATCATAATTTTGCTTCACCTCTATTCCTAAAAAATAAGACATCAAACCAAGGTCTGTCATCTTAAATACTTTGAGCATTTCAACCTTTAACTATTTTATTAGCTCCTCAACATTTCCTATCACAAGCATGTTATCAAAATAAATACAAGCTATGATTATATTAGCATCAATTTCTTTTACATACAATGTAGCTTCACTTAGGCTTTTAACAAAACCAAGACTTAGTAGGTGTTCATCAATCCTGCTATATTAGACCCTAAGAGCTTGTTTAAGGCCATACAAGGCCTTTTTTAATAAGTAAACCTTTTCTTTTTTTTCCCTTTACTTGAAACCCTTTTGGTTGTTCCACAAAGATTTCTTTTTGCAAATAACCATTTAAAAATGCAGATTTTATATCCAGTTAGTAAACCTTTCATCACTTATGTGTTGCCAAGGTATGTAGCATTCTGATAGCAAAAGTCTTAAAGATATCTACTCTAATCACTTGAGCATACCCTTTTACAACTAATCTGACTTTATATTTATTTACAAAACCATCTGTATTAAATTTGGTTCTGTAAACCCGTTTGACACCTATAGATTTTTTGTGTTAAGGTTTGTCCACTAGCTCCAAAGTGTCATTCTTTTTAATCATTCTAAGCTCAGCTTTCATTGCTTTAATTCATTTGCCATCTTTTTCTACCTCTTTAAACTCTACAGGCTTAAAAACAATAATGTTGCACCTTTTATAAATATCAAACAATGGTCATGTACCTCTAACTAATGCTTTATCTATGTCATCCTCAGGATTTTACTAAAACTCTAAGTGTTGCTCATTTTCTGACTCTTTTCAATTTCATTGTTTATCTTTCATGAACTTAATATTTCTACTCACAAGAATTTTTTCATTTTGTGGTTGAAAAATTCTATAAACCTTGAATGAGCCATTATATCCAATAAAGACCCATGGTTCTACCTTCTTATCTAGTTTGTTTGTTTTTACCTATGGCATATAAGAAAAATATAGGCAACCAAACCATTCTTTAAATAGAGTTCTCTTTCGTAGAACTTCGGTTAGTAGTTTGTTTAGTAGAAAAATTGTTGTGTTTACAGTTTTTGCCCATAATTTTTTTGGCAGTTCTTTTTCATATAGCATACACCTTGTCATCTTCATTATAGTTTTACTTTTTCTTTCACTTACTTCATTTTGTTATGGAGTATAAGGTGTTGTAAGTTGGTGCTTAATACTAACTTCTTTATAAAATTTATTAAACTTGTCAGAAGTGTATTTCTTTCCATTATCTGATCTTATTATTTG